GGACTATTGGTATTTGGTGGGGATATGTTATTTTGGTTTTTCATGTTATTATTTTTTTCTCTGTGATTTTGACATGTGGATTTCTTTTGTAGTTTCTGATTCTTGTGTGAGGCTCAAGCCTTCAAGTTTAGGTCTGCTTTTTTTTGTGAATTTTGTATGTCTTTGTGGTTTGCTTTTTGGGCATGAAAAGCTGGTTTGTCTTAGGTTCCAGTTCTCTCTTTTGATTTTATATTGGAGTGGCCAGATTTCTCTTGTCTTCACGAGTTCTCACAGAGGGCCAAGTCAGATGAGGATCAGATGCTCTCAGGCTTTCTCCTAAGGTCTGGATCCCTCCAGCAAGATTTTTGCCTCAGGAATTTGGGGGGTTGGACTGGCCTGGGAGCTGGGTCCAGGAAATATGCTGGTCTAGGGCAGCTGGTGGCCGAGCCACCCAGAGATGTAAAGGCAGATGGGGAGGTTAGAGGCCCCAAGAGCTCCTGGGGACTGCACTGAGGAGCTGGGTTGATCTGGATGCAAAGGATTAGGAAGAGGGAAGGTCGGAAAGGTCAGTGGTGCAACGCCCCACCACAGTCCTGGAAAGAGGCTGGTGGGTGGTGCAGGCCCAAGGAAGCAGAGGGAGGTGAGGGCCGGGCCAGGCCCAAAGTGCTCCTGCGGACCCAAGAAGGCACTGAGTTGGTCTGGATACAAAGGATCAGGAAGCAGTGGTGTTTCCCTGGGTGTCTGGGGCACCAAGACAAGGAATGGGACAGGAACCAGGATAGGAGGAGAGACCGGCGGGGGAGAAGGGAGGGTGAATGAGGCTGGGGGAGTCAAAGTGCCAAGGGCTCAGGGACTTACCATGGAGAGAGGCCTGGGGATTGGAGAGAGGCCTGTGGTTCCTGCAGGCCCATCGAAGCAGAGGGAGGTGAGGGCAGGGCCAGGCCCAGAAGAAGTGCTCCTGGGGACCAGAGAAAGCCCTGCGTTGGTCTGGATAGAAAGGATCAGGAAGAAGTATTGGTTCCCCAGGTGTCTGGGACCCCAAGACAAGGAATGGGACAGAACCCAGGTAGGAGGAGAGACCTGGTGGGGAGATGGGAGGGTGAATGTGGCTGGGGGAGTCAAGGCACCGAGGGCACGATGGACTTACCCCAGAGAGAGGCCTGCAGTTTGGAGAGAGGCCTGCGGGTCCTGCAGGCCCATGGAGGCAGAGGGAGTTGAGGGCCAGAAAAAACATTTTAATGTACTTAGGTGATCTTATAAAAGTGGCAGTTCCATGGTTTGTTTGTTTGTTTGTTTTTGTTTTTGTTTTTGTTTTTGTTTTTTTCCAGCCTGAAATTGGGTGCCTTATTTATGGTCCTGTTTGCTTGATTCTCCAGGCCAGTTCTTCAGAGGACTTTCCCTGACTGCATCTTCCCTCTGAGCTCCGGCTGCTTCCCAGTGGGAAACATACTCCAGACAGCTGTGGCGTGTTCTTGGAGAGCAGTTCCATGGGCACTGTACCTGACCCTCTGAGGGGGACAGATGCTTCCATCGTTGCAGCTTCTGGAGAGGAAGAGGCTCAGGGAGAGCTGCAGAGGATCTCACCAAAGTGCCAACCAGCTCAGCCCAGTAAGAATGCCAGTAGCATTGGAGATGCCCCTGCTGAACCATGCCTCAGGCCCAGTGCAGCAGCTGAGGGCCTGATGCAAGTTCGTGAGCATGAGACCAGTCAGCCAGACATGTCATTTCCTGGTGACCTCAATGTAGTGGAGGTCTCTCCCCCACACAGCACTCATGATGACCCCCAGCCACCAGAAAGCAAGGAGCCTACAGTGTTAGTCCTAAGTCCTGCAGGAAAGGACCTTACACCTGCATTGTTTGTAATGCCGGCCAGTCAGCATTCCCATCAGGCCATCACAGGTCACCTGCCGAATAGTGGCACCTGTTCAGTCCCTGAAGATTCCTTGGCAGAATCACAGAGAACCTCAAACAGCGAACAGCAATTTGAGCAGTCAACAAGTTGCCCTCCTGGGCTGACCTGTTGCAGTGGCCAAAATCAAGTGTTCTGTGATTTTCCGACTCAGGAAAAAGTTGAGGGAATGGTAAAGACTCCAGATATGGCAGCCGAGGTGCTCGGTCACATATGCCCTTCTGCAGAAAGACTTGAAGGGGAAAGGCAGCAAGCCGTCAGTAACACGGTGGTGAGGTCCTGTGACCCTCCAGCAAAAGGAGGGTGCTCAGAGAAAAAACCATCCTCTGCCTCTATCCTGGACACCAAAGTTGTCCCATCTGAAACACCTCAGCCTTCTCACCTCACTAGCAGAGGATCTGCATGCCCTACAGATCCAGAGAAGGTGCTGGTGCCAGCACATCAGGTGTCCAGGTTCAAAGAGGCCAGTACTATGACCTACCAATCTGAAAGTGAGGCCAAGAAAGTCCCTGGCAGGGCTCGCCAAGATGCGGAGGTGCAAGCAGTGGCCAGTGTGGAGAGCAGGTCGGTTTCCACCAGCCCCAGCATCCTCGCTGCATTCCTGAGGGAAAGCCCTGCTCCTGAGTGTCTGGAGCAAGAGCAACTGTGTGTCATTTGCCATGGTAGTGGCAGTAGGGTCCCCACAGTGGAGCTCTCTAACAGCAGGATGGACCTTCGGGAGTCAGGGAGCTGCCAGGACATTGTGCCACAGGTGCAGATCCAGGCAGCTGCTGCTGTTGCTACAGCTTTCCAACGGGAATGCAGCCCCGGGAGTCTACCAGGGGAAGCCCTTAAAACTCCTTTGATCAACGTGGCCTCCAGTCCTCACCAGGACGCACCTGAAGATGGGCAGTCTTCAGCATGGGAAGAGCCAGCCTCTTGTCAACCTGCAGGTACTAATTCTGGTTCCCAGAAAGCTAGCCCCGTCGGCCAGATTTCTCAGAGTGCAGTAAGTCATGGGTTGGGCAACTCTGTACCCAAGCCACGCGAACACGTAGTGAAAACCACAAATGACCACAAGACAGAGCCAAAATGCAAACTTCCAGACTCCTGTGGCCATGCCAGGAAAGATGACCAGCCAGTGAACATGGACCCCATTGATAAGCGGGATGCAAAGGAGAGGAAGCCCGCTTCTCCTCAGATAGTCAAAGAGCAGGAGTCCGCTGCAACTGAAACACCGGATGGCAAAACCCTTCTGCTCAATCCTAAATCTCAAGAAAACCGTGGCACAGGACCTGCGGCCAATCCCGCACCTTCCCCAGGGAGAAAGAGCCAGGAGAGCATCTTGGAAGAAAACAGACAGTCCAAGACAGCCACAAGCCTGAGCCTGCCTTCCGACGGCATGGGTGACTCCAGCCCAGGCTCTGGCAAGAGGACCCCTTCTCGGTCGGTCAAGGCCAGCCCCAGGCGGGGCAGCCGCGTCAGTGAGTTCCTCAAGGAGCTCAACGTGACGGCAGCTGCCCAGGTGGGGCTCACACCCGGAGAGAAGAAGAAGCAGCTGAGCGCAGACTCGAAGCTGCAGCTCAAACAGTCCAAGAGAGTACGGGACGTCCTGTGGGATGAGCAGGGCATGACCTGGGAGGTGTACGGCGCCTCCTTAGACCCGGAGTCCCTGGGAATTGCCATCCAGAACCATTTACAAAGACAAATCAGGGAACACGAGAAATTAGTTAAAACACAAAGTGGCCAGTCCCGAAGATCGATTTCCTCAGACACTTCCTCAAATAAGAAGCTCAGAGGAAGGCAACAGGGCGTTCTGCAGTCGATGCTGCAGAACTTCCGGCGCCCCAACTGCTGTGTGCGCCCAGCCCCGTCTTCTGTGCTGGATTAAAAGGGTCCATGTGTCCAGGTGTGGTATTCCAGTGTGTCTGTCTGTGACGTAGCTTACTTGGGTGGTTTTTTGTTTTGTTTTTTGTTTTTTTCCTGAAAGACCACGAAGTAAAAGCAAGGATTAAAGAATTAACTTTAGGAATTTGCTATTAAAAACTGTTGGATCTTCTGTAAATAAAAGGCCATTTCAAGTTGAAAGAAAGAAGCAAAGCTCACAGATGGCCTGAACCCCTAGTTCAGGGGAACTAATATCTACTGGGGTTATTTAACATGTTGTTGCTTATACACATACATTATCACCACACATGAGTCGTTTTGTATTCAGTCTATGGCATGCTGGTATTTCTACTAAAATCTCTGATTTATATTGAAAATAGAAAAAAAATCACTATTAGCAAAAACACTGTTCTAATTTCTACACTTACTGAAATAAAAATGCAACTACTACAAAACATTAGTAGTTTGTAAAAAAACCTTAATGTGAAAAATTGAAACAAATTCGACTTATTCCTAGAACAGATACTAAAAGTATTCAAAAGTGTATAATAACAAATATTGACTGTGAACATCTGAAGATAAGTCTTTTTATAATATGAGGAAAATTAGCTAAGCTTTCCAATCTGTATACTGTTTGA